GTTTGGAAAAAGATGAACAGAACGGCGTGTGGTATGATTAGGTCTTGTCTCACTCAAGATCTAAAGTATGATGTGATCAATGAGACTTCTGCAAAGAAGATTTGGAAGATCCTTGAGAGCAAGTATTTGACCAAGAGTGTGGAGAATCGCTTGCATTTGAAGAGGAGGCTTTACCGCTTCCAGTTGAAGAAAGGAACCTCCATTGGTGATCACATGAACCACTACACGAAGCTTCTTGCGGATTTGACGAATGTAGATGTGGTGATTGAAGATGAGGACAAGGCGTTGTTGTTGTTGAGTTCCTTGCCCGACGAGGAATATGAGACCTTCGTTCTTACTCTTATTAATGGGAAGGCATCTCTTTCGTATAGTGAGGTCACCGCTGCACTTGTGAATTATCAGCTTCGAAAGAAGGATAAGGAGAATTCGACTGAGTCGGTAGCAGAGGCGTTAGTGGATTCGGGGGCTACATACCACATTTGCCCTAGGAGGGATTGGTTCTCCAGCTTTCAGGAGTTGGAAAGAGGGGATTTCGTGCTCATGGGGAATGATCACAAATGCTCTATTGGTGGTATCGGTACCGTTCGGATCAGGATGAGTGACGGGGTGATTCGGGAGTTGGTTGGAGTGAGGTTCGTTCCTCAGTTGAAGAAGAACATCATTTCACTTGGAGCTTTGGAGGCAGCAGGCTATAGGGTGACCTTGGCGGATGCACGCTTGAAGGTTACATTTGGGTCCATGATTGTGATGAAGGGCGTCAGAAGAAGAAATTTGTATTATTTGCACGGAAGCACGGTGATTGATAGGGAAATGACGACTTCATCAGATTCGGCTAGACTGTGGCATTGTTTGGTGCTGGGGTATATGATTGGTAATGCCGTGCATTGGTTGTTGAGGAGTGCTATGACCTGCAGATTAAAGTCCTGTAAGCATATTGGGATGAGCAAGACCATGGTGGAGTTTGGCATTCCTATCCATCGAGCGAGGGTTCTTTTAGGAGGTGTTCAGTCAGGCATTTGGGGGCCTTCCAAGGAGGCATCATTGGGAGGTAATCGTATCTTAGTTTCCGCAGTTGAAGATTGTTCTGGGCATTATTGGATCACGACCAGTTCCCGTTGGTGTAAAGTCCTAGAAGTCAACAACAATTAGAAGAAGTGTATTGGCAGAAAGGTAACTCGTTGTTCTAGATTTGATAAGGGTCCTTTCTTGCATTTGTGCCGAGCTCACGGCAATAGGAGACACTTCATTGGTGTGGAGATTTTGGGGCGACGAGATGAGATGACAGTTTCGATGGGTCGTTCCTTTCTGGAGGAGGATCGGTGTTGGTTGTCGAGCATTAGTTCTGGAGCTTCGACATATTTGGGTCATCTTAGTCACAGATCGCCGACTGCTGCATTAGGAGTTATTGGATCTGGTGGAGCTGCTTCAGATTTTGGGTTACGTCGGATATTTGGATACCCAGCATTTGGTCACATCGAGGATGTGAGATTTGATCCGATTGCGCGTTTGGGGTTCGGAGGCTCAGTTGATTATCGTTTGGGAGCTTCTGGTTTTGTTCTGAGCAAGAATGTTATTTTTGACTCTCGGCAGGTGGAGAGTGTTGATCAGGTCGTTTGGATATCGCAGCAGGTGGAGGGTGATGCTACTTCACGTTGGGTGGAACTTATTCCACATACTCCAGATCATACTGTGTCATTTGGGATTCCAGCTGAGGTGACACAGGTTGGGGATCATTTGATTTCGGATGCAGATGATGGATTGGTTTTGGATTCGGTTGCAGCTGGTGGACATTATTTGGATACAGCCATTAGTTCACCTCAGATGGAGGTGTTTGATTTGTATCATTTTGGGGCCGCTATTAGTTGCAGATCCGTTGGCGATATTGGGGAAGAGTTGCAGACTTTTCTATTTGTTTGAGGACCTTTGGAGGCCGTTTGGGTGAACTATGTGAAGGCTTGATTCCTTAGGCAAGAGGATACGTAGGCAGTCAGTTTTGATGCAGCCGATTTGGTGAGTAGATACCGACGTTTAGGTGAGTGTTCGCACTCCCGTTTGGGTCTCGACTTGTGTGGATGGAATCCGTTGTCATGAGTCCGTTGCCGTGGCGTACTGGATGCAACAAGTGAGGCATTTGTTTTGGTTGGTGTCGACTCAGTGTTGGGAACACTTCGTCGAGGTGGAGAATTGTGAAAACGGCGAAGGAATTGTGAAAAACGTGAAGAATAATCCAAAACAGACTCCACCACACCCTGGTGTGGTATCTGCCATGGGTGTGGTAGAATCTGTCCTGCACCACACCCTCTGCCATACCCACGGTGCAGGGTGTGGCAGAATCTGTCCTGCACCACACCCTCTGCCACACCCATGGTGCAGGGTGTGGCAGACTCGTTTTTAGAATCCCAATCAGTTTGGGATTGTGTTTTGCTATAAATAGAGACACGTTTTTTAGGGTTTCCAATGCTTGGTTTAGGCTTTGATTAAGCATTGATTGAGGGCTATTTGGAGCACAGAAAAAAGGTATTTTCTGAGCTATTTGTTTAGGGTTTTATTTGGAGAGATTAAGAGTTTTGTTGGTGAGATTAGTTTGTTCCTTCGAGTGATTTGTAATCTCAGTTTGTACTCTTTCTCTATTAGTGAAAACCCCATCTCCCCTTGCCCCGTGGATGTAGGCAACTTGCCGAACCACGTTAAAATTGGTGTTTTGTTTGTGCATTGATATTTGATTCGTTTGGCTCTCTTGGATTGGCGTTTGGTTTGGTTCCTCGACACAGCTTCAGGCACAACAGTAACAGCCTCCAAAGAACTTAAAATTTGCAATTGACACTCTCAACATTTCAAAAATTATAAAAACACCCTCAAAAGTTTCAAATAATAAAATAGCATTCTGAAATTCTAAAATTTCAAAACTTGCAAAGAACAAAAATGAATTCAAGAGCTTACCATCAGGCACCTAAAAATTTAAAATTCGTAAAAATAACATCAAAGTTATAAAAATTACAAAAACTCCTTAAAAAGTTAAAAATCACAAAAAACCATGAGATTTTAAATCTTACAACCAGTGCATATCAAATCTTAAAATTATCAGTAGACTGCTACAAATTTAAATTTTATAACAAATAATCCAAAGTTTTAATAATTATAAAAATACACCTTTAAAATTTTAGAGTTGCAAGAAATATACTAACATTCGAAAACTTACCACCAATACATGATACATGAAAATTACAAGCACCCAACTAAAAATTAAAAATTTTTAAAAATACACTCAATGTTTTAAAATTTGCAAACCACGCTCTTAAAAATTCAAAATCACAAAAAACACTTAAATTTCAAGTCTTAGCAAAGAAAATAGTAGTTGTTTGATATTCTTTTATTAAGATATATAAATTTAACTTTTTAGCATCTAAAAGTATTCTAATTTTATCGAAAAAGATAAACGTAGAGAAAGATTGATGTCGGCTCAATAAAAAAAATAGAAGAAATGAAGGAAGCTATTTTTTAAATACTTTATAAAATAGTTTATTTTTTTGAGTAAATTATGAATCTTTAGAAGAAATTTTCATGAACTTTATTAAGTATTTTTATTTGCTTATGTGAATACTTTCATCGTATAAACGTATTCTAGAGTTAGCATTAATTTTTAGTTTATGATTTTTTTAAAAGTCTATAAAGGATTAGGAACAAACTCTATTTTCTCTTTTGTGTTGTTTTAGCCCACTTTAACCAATCATCTCGTCTTATTAGCTTTAATTATTCATCTTCCTTTTATAATGCTATTTTTTGAAGTATTTTTCACTTTCGCAACACTATACTTTCTCAAGTCAAACTTGGCTTCATGTTCATCTAAATAACATGATAATTCAAATTAGATTTGGATTACATTTGTTTCCTATTAAATTATCAACATGAAAATTTAAATTGGGTGTAGCTTATTATTTAAATAAATATTAAAGAAAATAAATAATCACAATGTTAAAGTTTAGAGATATAAGTGAGTAGAAACCATCAAAATAGAACTGAGAAACAAATTTTAGTAAGGAAATAGATCAAATATACTAAATCATGTGCATTGCACGTGCATAAAACCTAGTAGGAATAAATATGTAAATAGGATAGATTTTGATGTACCTATGTAAAACGCCCTAACTTTAATAAGAATTGAATAGAATCAAATTCCAATATTTTGTTTTTATGAATTAGAAGTTTGAAATAATCTTCATAATCGTTAAATCCCTATAGGACTAAAGGGGATAGGTTGTAGGTAATGGCCACAACTCCTAATTTAAACTTTTAACTCTTTCTTAACCTATCCAATGTGGAAGCTATACTCACATATTAAGAATCTCAACATCTCGCCTTTAATTTGTGAGTATATTTCAATTCGACTACAGCACATGACTATCAAACATTTGTACGACCTTCCACCACTTCACTCACAGTGGCTAACCCAGACTATATCACTCCCTACGAAGATCCGTCCCAGACTATATCACTCATATGCGGATCTATGGGTTCCCTTGATATGTTCGGGGTCCAATCGAGTTGATGGGATTTAAACAAGAGCTAGGAATATTCAATTTTAACATAAAAACTATAGCTGGTGGGTATGAGCCCCAACTCCTAATTAAATTTATTTAACTTTTTTCTTAACCCCTCCAACGTGGGACTATATTCACATATTAATAACCTCAAAATGGATAGTGCTGTAAAATATTTGCTTTTATGAATATTTATTGTACTTCTTTCCCCTAAGTTATTGAAAGTTTTGCACTCCATGCATTTATTTTTTTTCCAGGAAAATGCACAAAGAGCTTTAGGCACTGCGTGGCCCTTATCATCTTTTCTCACCAAATTACAACAGTTAGGAATTTTTTGGCTAGAAAAAGCCTTAAAAAAGAACGAAATGAGAAACAAAAGAGAGGCAAGGGGGGAAAGGCCAGAAGGGGCAACACACATCATTCCATTTATCTAAACCATACAAATTGGTCTACTGGCAGAGCCTTAGCTTGTTTCTAATTTTTTTATTTTGTTCCATAGTTTCTTGATCATTCTTCTTGAATTAATCAGTGCTTCACATTACACAAACTTCAACCTTAGAAAATGACATATCTCCATACAATCATTAATCCTTGCATAAAAATGTACAAACAAGTTCTTATAAATAAATAAATAAATAAAAGCTACATAACGCATCAATTAGACCTCTCACTCGCAGCATATCCAATCCCATGCCTGGTATTCGGAAACACCATGAAAACGAAGCTAACTATACCTCCAACCGCGGCAGGCAACACCACCATCGCCGTCGTATTATCCAACTCAAACGACGGATAAAAGCAAGTTACGATATTCGAGCTCAAAAGAGCAACAACCGCGAACACAATCAACGAAAGAAACCCATGCACGAAATCTCCGAACTTCAGCTTATATTTCGAGTCAAAACAAGAGCCAGAGTCAGAATCAGAACCAGAGTCAATGAACTTACGTAGACCGTTGACCGTCACAATGCCATAGTAGACTCTTCCATCAGTACCGGTGATGCTATCGGTGAAGGAGGAGAAGCAACATGAAGATGCACATAGAACGAGGAGAGCGCCGGTGAGGTATTTGTTGAGGGTGGTGCATTGGCCTTTGTTGGTGAGGAGAGGACTGAGGAATTGGAAGATGAAGACTGTGCCACTTGGGAGGAGCTTTATGAGGTTGGCTACCCCTTTGAAGGATTTGTCACCTAGGGTTTTTGGTGTTGAGGACTTGGCCATTTTGTGCATTTATGAGAGGGGTACCCTTTGTTTTGGTGGTCGTGATATAAATAGAGATGAGCTTGAATCAGTTAGGTAGTTATTTAGGTAGTGGCCTATGATTAGGGTGTTAGTGGTTAAGCAGAGCGTGTGGTTTTGATGAAGGACATGGATCCTCTCCTGATATCAATATATTTATTTTTTGTATCCAATTCTATAAAAGCAACTATGATTTTGGATAAAATCTTAAGAAAAAAAATACTTATTATGTTATTTGTATCCTCAAATCTTCAACTAAGAACTCATACGTCATTTGTATTCTAGGATCTTCTTACTTCTCTTATTAAGGTAAGAAATTTGACAATTTTGAACATATAAGAAAGTGTATTATATTAACATAAATAGCAATGCATGATACAGAGCCGTGTGCTTATCTTGAATTTGGCATGCCTAACCAAAGTTACAAATGATGAAAGATATTTTTTTTTCCTTGCAGCTAATTAGTTATTTACTATATATATATATATATTCGATTTCAGTATAGGTAACTTTTAACTTACACCAAAAGGCCCCTTTATGGCCTGATGTTCGGTAATCAGTTGTATGCTGATGCTAAAGTTTGGTTCACATTGAAAACGTGGTTACTTCTCATTGATCAAATTCTAGGTTGTGTTTCGGTGAAAAAAGATTTTGCATGATAAGCATGACAGTGAAGAGAATTATTGCATCATAAACAGCGTTTTTTTTTTCCTTTTTTTTTGTTTGGAGAAAAAATGTTTAATTTCAGAAATTCCCCTGAAGTTTGGGAAAATTTACAGATAGCCCCACCACAACAAATGTTGTAAATTATAATATATTTCTTACCTCAACGCAACACATTTTTGTGCCATACAAATAGAGCGCAACACATACCAAAATTGTGGTAAGAGTATGTGTTGAGAACGTCTTTCTACATATGTGAAAATGTGTCACTAAACTTAAGACACATATATATATGTCGAGAGTGGTGACATATACATGTGTTACAAAACTCGTGACACATACATATGTTACAAAACTTGTGACACATATATGAGTCGAGAGTAGTGACACACACTAGTAGAAAAACGACCAATCTAGACGGAACAATCTAGACGGAAAAAATTTTCGTCTAGGTTGGAGCAAACTAGACGGAAAATTTCCGTCTAGATTGTTCCGTCTAGTTTGACAAACGAGACGGAGTAGTCAACCTAGACGGAATTCCGTCTAGGTTGCTTCAACCTAGACGAAATTCCGTCTAGGTTGCATAGTCAACCTAGACGGAATACCGTCTTAATGTTTAGTATGATTATGAAATCTCATAATTTATAATATGACAGGGGAAATCATTAATGCCGATACACTTGAGGGTAAAAGTGGCATATTGTACTTTCCGTGAACAATATAGGGGTGATGAGAAGAATCGGGATAAGATCACGGCAAATCTCGAGTTAGTGGTGAGACTTATACATATCTTGAGTAGTATTATTAATTCTATTTTGTTAACATTACGAGGAAACGAGAACTCAAATAATATGGTCATTATCTTGAATTAACTATAAATATGTGATTTAGGAGGGATTTGAGACTGCATCCAAGGAGGCTGCATCTGTGTACATTTCGCAGGAGGAGGAACAAACCGAGCCGGACCCTCACATGCTTTCTGCAGAGGAGAACATCAATCTCACACAGAACCTGATGGGTCATAATAGGTAAGGATGGTGAAAAATCGAATCAATTTGAATACTACATACTATTTATATTTGTTTACCATATTTGAATTTGAGAGCAAAGTTTAATATTTATTTCTCCCTAATAATAGGAGAGGAAGATATCCTCTACATGGTGTCGGAGCTTCACCTGGTATAAGCATCAGATCGTCCACAGCATCCTCCACACCATCTACATCGACGAGAGCAACCATAGCGCGTATGGTGGTATCATACGGATCATTAGCTCGATTGGCGATAATTCCGGCGCTAGACAGAGTAGTGCTCAGGTACCTTATTTTTTCTTATATTTATAAATTCATTTTTATCTAATATGTTATCAAACACCACATAATGATTATTCAATTAAACATTCAGAGTGGAGATATTGGAGGGAGCAGCACCCGTTCTCGTAATCGGGATAGAGATACCCCCGCCGACGACGATGGATGAGGTTTTTTTTATTTTTAATGCAATAAACAGTTTTATTTGTTATAACACTACATTTATTCATGTCGTGTATCCTATCTTAGTCATGTGCATTGTTAGTATATATGTTGTTGGATGTGTTTTAGACGGAACTGATTGATGTATATTTTGAAGTGGATGGTTGGATTTGTACAATATGTTGGATTTGGTTATATTTGGTTTTTGAATGGAAGTGTTATGAATTTTGATCATAATTGGATGGTTGAATGTGGCGTGTACAGTATTTTCTGGATGTATTCAAATATTAATGTAATTGTACAGGAAAATATAAAGTTTAATTAATTTTTTTTGGAAAAGAGGCAATCTAGACGGAATTCCGTCTAGTTTGACACATCCTAGACGGAATTCCGTCTAGGTTGTGAAAAACCAAACTAGACGGAAATTCCGTCTAGGTTGTATTCCGTCTAGGTTGATCAACCTAGACGGAATTCCGTCTAGTTTGCTTCAATCTAGACGGAAGCAAAATAAACCATCCAAACTAGACGGAATTCCGTCTATCTGTGATAAACTAGATGGAATGTGAATCAACCTAGACGGAAATTTCCGTCTAGGTTGATCGTTTTTCTACTAGTGACATAGTTGTGTCTAGACTATAAAAATATAAAGAGTACCGTCATTTAACACTATAACTTTCTAGAAGGCCACTCATCCTAGGTTTACTCTCATTGAGGCACACTTAACTATAGAGTTTTTTTTAGCTTATACACTATCATAAATGTTTAATCATCATCATAATTAAAATCTAAAATCTGTTATTCTTTTCGTAATCCATGTTGGACTATTAGTCTTTTTATTTATAATTAATTGTATATCTAATGACACAAATATGTGTCGTGATTTGCTATATTTTTTATTTATGTTACTATTGTTTAATCCTTTGCAAATAAAGTGATACTTGTATATATATGTGTCATAAAATAAGTATGGACGCATACAATTTTTGTTGTAATGGCGCCTTAACTATTTTAATTTTAGAAAACCACCTTGAATTTTGAGGTGTTTTGTGCATATCCCTGATCTTCTTTTATTCCGCAAAACCTCTTGAAGATGTTTCACGCTAACCGGGTAAAGTAACTTTATTGTGTCTAACTTGTCACGTGCCAACACTAGTACAAATACCAACAGCCCCAACGGGTGCTAAGGACTGTTGGGGCTCTTTTAATCAGCACCAACGGTTTTACCCGTTGGGCCGATTCAATTTTTCCCAAAAAAATCGGAGGGAGCCCGCGCCCCAGCCCCAAAATTTATTTTCCCCCAAATAATTTCGATCTCTCTCCCTCTCTGCTTCCCTCCCTTCCTCTCTCTCGCCAAATCCATCGTCGCTCTCCTCTCGTCGTCGCCGGAGCTCTCTCGCCGCCTCCCCCCCTCTCTCGTCGTCACCGGAGCTCTCTCGTCGCCAAAACCAGCGCCGCCCTCCTCCTCTCGTTGTCGTCGTCGGAGCTCTCTCGCCGCCTCCCTCCCTTTCTCGTCGCCAAAAAGCGCTGCCCTCCCTCCCTTCTCGTCTTGTTGTATAGCTAAACCTCCTAAAGTTTTTAATTCGTTTTTCTTATTAATTTTGATTTAATTCAACGATCTATTAATCTTGATTTTCGTCTTGTTATTGATTTATTTGAAATTACGGGAAGTGGGAGGTAGATTTCGCCCTTTCTCGGAGATCACCGGAGTCTGCCCTCGCTACAAAGATCAGGTTGACTGGAAGAGAGTAATTTTCCCTTTTTTCTAGGGTTTAGGTCTTATTACTTAGGGTTTATTTAACGAAGCAATATTGATGTGATTTATTTGGATTAGATACTGGAAATACAAGCCCCTCGTGGAGTCGTCCAAAAGGTAGCACACAAGTGGTTCCCAGGAGTTCATCCTCTTCGCTGTTCGCACCGTCGCCAAGCGAACGCAGCCTGGCCAGCGCCAATCCGTTCAGCATGAAGGTGAACAATCCTGATCACGTTTTGATTTTTTTTGTTAATTTTTGTTTGGATAATTTGAATGAATCTGTGTGTTGGTGGAATTGGTGGATGTTTTTTTGTTTTGTTTTGTTTCCATGTGGATCATTATTTTGAATTGTTTCATAGGGATAAGTTGATTGATTGATCTTTTGAATCGTAATCTGGATTGTGAATTTTGGGCGGATGGTTACAATTGTCGAAGAGATTGGGGAAAATTGGAGGATTTCGAACGTGTGATTGATAACTTCAAGGCCTTCTGGGTTGAGAGTGACAGTAGAATTCCGCTTCTTGAAAATTTTGCAGGCTCTGAAATTTGCAATATACAGCTGAATTCAGAAGCATATCTCTTTCTTATCGATGCATGATTCGATGGTATTCATAGCTCTAGTTTGCAAGTGCAGAATAGTGCTGGTGACATGTTTTGTTAGGCAAACATGGTTCTAGGATTGAAATTTTAAAATGTGAAAACTCATATATATTCGTCTATATGTATTTATATGCATGTGATTACGAAAAGCTTTTGTATGTGAATTGTTATGCATTCTATATGTATTTATATGCATGTGATTACGAAAAGCTTTTGTATGTGAATTGTTATGCATGTGCATCTTCAGATATCCTTGATATATTTGCATCATATGGTGCATGTGCATCTTCAGATATCCTTGATATATTTGCATCATATGGTAACAGTAGAGCACTTTTTTTGAATATATGTCGACCAATTACAGATTCATACTTTCTTGATTCTTTTCATTGGAAGATATGGGACTACAAAATATGTCGACCAATTACAGATTCATACCAATTACGGATTCATGCTTAAAAATATGTTATTAATATAATTGTAATTATCTCATGAAAATATTTACTACCTGATCATGTTATGAAGGTAATAAATTAAACATTTGTTTCTAGACTTGTCCTTTTCATCTAGATCTCTCGTAATTAAGAAGTACTTTCCTAGATGTCGGAAGTTTTCTACAAAAATGATATACTGAAGTGGCGTTTAGTCATCCTTTCTTTCCTTCTTTATTAGTTATTACTACTTTGTACATGTTTTTCAAAACGTGCTGATGTCATAAGAATCAACCTCATTTTTATAGAAAAGCTTGTGAACCCTGTATCAATAATTTGTGTGAACTAGTAGGTGAAAGTTATTGAGGCTGCAACTTACATTGATTACATGACTAGCTAGGATTTTATTGACACAGATTCATACTTGTACATATGCACACGTGTGTACACTTGTGACTTCTAGGCATAGATCAGGATGATTGTTATACATAGAGAGTAGCTCTCTAGCATACATAGAAGTACTATCCTTTGGCTTCGTCAACGTTCTGACTATGTTATATGCCTGGCTGCAGCTGGAAAAAATGTAATTTTCCAAAAGATTTCATTGCCTTTTCTTTGTTCAATTATACATATGCATGCATATGGACACACTTGCATACGAAGCATTGAGGACATGTGAATCTCTTGTTACTTTTTGTTTTGTGGGTGTGGGAGATTTCTGATCCTTTAGTAGTTTCATTCATTTTAGAGTAATATTGTTGCATCTGGAGGTCTTGGTGGGGAGGTCTTTATATGGGACATTGAAGCAGCACTTCTTCCGGTTACCAAGTCTGTCGATGCTGCTGAAGATTGTCCGTCTTCATTGCAGGTGGATTGGAGCCGTCAGCGAGTTTCTTTCTGTTTTACACTCTAGCCCATACATTCATGGACAACAACAGGTATCATATCTGCCTTATAACATTGTTCTCGTATGACTTACCACACACAAAATTCTCCTAACTTATAAAGCAAGCATTTCCAATGTTTATTTACTGCAAGTTATTCATATATTATTCTGCTGCAAAAGCTGTTTTTAATCTAGTATTTCGCTTTACTCATGAAAGTTGTATTAGTGTTGTTACAAAAAGTTGTATTAGTGTTGTTACAAACTAAGTTATAAAATTTTGTGAACCTATTAAAACATTAGTAAGTATTTTATGTTAGTATATAGTTTTTGGGTAAACATTCTCTTGTATTTATTCTTGCATGCTGGAATGATACCATTGGAAGTAGTTCAGTTTATGATTTGTACTCCTAAGAATTATTTTTTGACGCAGATAGAGAGTACTGGGGTTCATTCTTCTCTCGAGTCTTCAATCGATAAGTTCCCCTACATAAACATCATGGAAGATGGACTGGTTACTGCATTGATTAATGATGAACCAAACAATAACGAAGCAACAGCTTTACTCGATGCTCGAACCAAACTCCATTGTTGTTCCCCATTGTCTCCAAAACTGGTCATTGTTGTCAATAAAAAAAAAGTCCTCCCTCATTCCTTCATTGAAGAAAGACGCCATCAGGGAACATCCAAGCAACCAAGAAGAGGAATAAAGGCACGCCATTCTTGTAAAGCTTTCGCTGATTATTTTCGATTAAGTCAGTCGTGACTTGTACTTTTAATTAACATACTTAAGACATTTGTATATTTGAGATATCCTCTTTATGTTTGGGACTTGAGTAATTTATAAGTTGTATTCTGATTCTAGTCAATCTTTTGTTTTGATTGTGCGTGAGAATATATATGTTAACAGGTATATTATATATATGTTAATAGGTATATATTGTATTTCAGATATTCTCTTTATGGATGTGAACAAATATAATATATACGTATATATTTTGTGGGATATGAATTCTATGTAAACATGGTAGGCAAGAGGTATTAATAAAATTGAAAAAAAAGGAAAAATAATAGCACAAACGGTTACAACCGTTGGTGCAAGTATCAGCACCAACGGTTACAACCGTTGGTGCTGATACCTGCACCAACGGTTGTAACCGTAACCGTTGTGCTAATACGTTGCACCCAACGTTTAAAACCGTTGGTGCCATATTTCAATCGCAGTTGGGTGATTCAGCCCAACGTTAGTCGTTTGCTGTAACGGGTGGATTCCTGCCAGACGGTCGTTAACCCGTTGGAGACACTACTTGCCAACGTTAAAACCGTTGGGGCAGACGCTTCTTTGTACTAGTGGCAATCACATTATCAGAAAAAATGAAATACATTGTCAGCCCAAAATTTACTACGTTACGATATACGTCAACTGTAAATCAATGTTCTCAAGGTGAATCAGAAAGAGTAGACGATGAGATATATATATATATAATATTATATATATAATATAATATATATATATATAAGCAATATTATATATATATAGATGGAGAGAAGAGAAAATGAAATAACTTGTACAAGCACAAATTTGTGCTTGGTAGTGATGTTCTCTTCCATCCACATATCATCTCATTAGAATCCACTATTTAATCTGTGAATCGTGTCCCCCATTTGAATAGTGGAGGATAATGCACATACACCAACCAAATTATGCTGGTACCAAAGCATACCATATTCCTCATATATATATATATATATATAACTATAATATTATATATATATAAAAAATATATATTAATATATTATAATATATAGATAATTTATATAATATATTAATTAGTTATATTATGATATATGTATGATACTTTACATTCTAGACTATTTACCCATTTCAAGGAAAAGTTGATCGACTGGGAAAGCAAATTTAAATTAGTTTAAGGACAGGCATAGGACTTTAAGAAAAGCGTCCAAATTGTCGATAGAAATGATGACCAATATTGTCAATATACTAAATAAGTATATCAAACTTGACACCACCATTTTATAAAAGCTTGACCTGTAAATCTCATTCTTTATCTTATGAAAAGATAAAGGTGGGCTGTGGATATAAATGTTGTCTGATAATTATCAAGGGTGGAGTGTGGATGTAAATGTTGTCTAATAACTATCGATGTCATGTATGTTCCTCACGAAATATATCATATGTCAATCCAACATGACAAAATAAAGGAAATAACTTCTCTAACCAAGAAAACCATATCTAAGGTTCCAATAAAGAGGTACTAATTAATGATGGAAAATGCTAAAATAATACAGTAGTGATCTAGTATTCTCATTTTATGCGGTTATGGAGAGCGTAATGGAGAGAGGCTCCACATTAATCGTGATGATTTTGCCATGTTGAGGTTTATTGCAGCGTTAATTGTGGATACCTACACTATCGCCAAATTTTGGATAGAGCCCCTATAGTAATATCGTTGTAGATATAACCACGAGCGAAATTTCTACACTCTTTTATGCTTAGTAGGCATATTTGTCAATCAAACCAAAAAAAAATCCAAGTGTAAAAGAATGAAAAATTTTACGTAGGGAGTCTTCTATTTGGAATAGTAAAACTATAGGGGTCCTATTTGAAATTGAACGATAGTATTGGGGATCTATGTGCAATCAACCCCTTATTGTATGGGGAGTTATGTGCAACTTTTACAAGTTTGAGTCATTTTATAGCGGAAGGGTCCAACTTTGAAAGTTTCAATTTGGAAACTTGTTTTTTAGCTATGGTAGCAAAGTAAATGTTAGTTAGAGAAGCAAATGTTTGTTAGAGACTCACGCTATTTTGTAGTCCTGGTTTTGGTGTAACCTTAATTAATCTGAGTAAGGTATTAATTAGCCCTAATAGAGTTATGCTCGACAAGTTTAAAATAGATAGGAAATAACTAGTACTGGCTATTAGTAGAAATGCATGTGCCAAGTTATTACTTATTCGAGTTAGAGCCATCTAAAAGGATCTCAATACACTGTACTCATAATTATGCTAATCAAACACATGACATATTGATGATTAGATTAATTGAAAAGTTCAATTTGAAATGTTTTAATGTGTACACTACTGAGTCTCGTTTTGTTTGAAGCTGAACCGTAGTTGCTTCGTTTGAGTACTGTTTATTAGTAGTAATGCAATCATGCCAATTAGTTTGTTGCTTCCTTTGAGTCAACATGATCCTTAGGGTTTATAACCATATTTCTAAAATATTAAATATACGTTTGCCAAAAAAGAGCACATAAGATATCAACAAGACAGAAGTAGATAAGAGGTGAAGGTTAGGCGTGCTCATTATTTAAGCCTCAAGGTTTCTTGGGGTGTCTTGTCATAAATAAATAAAAATAACAAATAAAAGAAGAAAAGTTTCTCGGGGGAAATCATCAAGTTAGGCTTTAACCATCCAGAATGCTTGATATATCATGTGTATCTTCGCAAATCTTCATCTAGAATTGCTATACAAATGGTATATTCATCAGAAGTTATAAATAAACTTGATACACTTATTGTCACGCCTTGGGCTCTCAAGCTTATTGTCATGATGTGACTCAATCCACTACCAAAATTGACAAGTTAATAATACACTTGACTCTATCCATCATTTAAACCCTCCTAAACTCTATCAATTTCCTTATATAGGACTATTAGTGTGGCATCAAAATTAGCCCACCTTTAATGCACGACATCCTCACCGTGACATAACAATTAGTACATCCCAGTATCATTAATTGTCAGGTGATGTGAACTCTAGATATGACTCTCACCACACTTACGCAGTATAGCACTTGGTCCCTCATAGCACTTCCCTCCATACTTCCGGCTAGCAAACTGCTCTAATATTATTTGTAATGCCATGGGCCGCGATCCTATTGGGCAGATATAAGCTCAGAGACTCACCGAGCGCAACACATGATTTGACTCAATCCACTATTAAAATTGATTAGTCATTGTTGTACATGACTCTCAAAATTCATCATTTAAACCCTCTTACAACTCTATCGATTTCCTAACATGGGACTATTAGTGGTGTTTGGGTCAAAAGTTGATGTTTTCATTGTCTTAAATCTATCACAACTTCAGTCGTTATAATAAACTCAAATAAACTAGGAAAGTAGATCTTTTTATAAGATCGACTTATACAATAAAAATGTAAAATAGTACAACTCCTGTCAAACAGCGCAATGGACGTTTATCACCCGTTGCTTGCATGGGAACTTCACCTGTGCTGGGAACGTTGATATCCGTGGACTGCCGCGGATAAGATCCGGTTGCAAAAAAATTGACAGAGCTCCTACTTCACCAAGGAAGTATTCGCTTAAAGCACTGAGATCGACCAAGCAAAATCAGTAGCTCTTCTCGAGATTAAGATAAAGCCTAATCTCGAGGAACGGACAGACGGGACTTCAGATCTATTGAACTCTCCCTCTTTATGTTGAAGAACTTTGCCGAGATCAGTTAGCCTCCTCTGAAATTCGTACTCCCTTGCTCTCCAACTCGGCAGTACCTCCTCGTCTTGATAATAATTTTGCCTCTGTGAAATGAGCCTCTAGGCCTGTATTTATAGGCTTCGGTTGGGGGGTTTTCGGATAAGAATAATAGATTTGGCATTATCTTCAGTTGACAACGACCTAACCATGTTTATGGATGATAACAAGCCAGTTGGGAACCCCTGGAACAGATAAATTCTGAGGAAACTGCTTAAAACCGTCGCAAACACATTTGGAGATCAAATCAGCGCGTCGTGCCCTGCTGACCCGCGGGGGGCGCGTGTCAGCGCGGTCTGACCCGGTGCTGTCCCGCCGTCGCGCGGGTCGGTTCGGTACTTAGGCATTCGTTCCGTCTTTTCTCGTTTTGTGTATTCGGTCGTCTTGTTAACTTGTACGCTTCGCTAACTTTCTTCATGCACTCATTAGCTTCTTTATGGCACTTGGAGCTGACCGACAAGGGCGACAGGTACTTGGAGCTGACTGACATGCACATGCTAACTAACGTGTGCAAGCTGACTGACGTTCGCAGCGGCCAACTGGATAATCCTTCTTGACTCGGATGGTGACGTTCATTGTATTCTCATCATCTCGAGCTATGTGTGGACACCTATAGGCATTTTTAGATGCCTATAGATACCCCCTCCAAAGTATTCACTACAAGAAATACAGTATTTAATGACCAAAATTAGTAAAGGGATTAGTTGACCATCGTTAATGTGCATCTAATAACGACGGGTTTTTAAAGCATTCGTCGAGTGATTACAAATATTATAGGAATGATGTGAGATGGGTAACGGTTTTCTAATCCCTTCATTAATTTGATCCTAATACCGTCGTTATTGGGCCCCATTAAAGACGAAGGGGTCAATTACCTTCATTAATCATAACTCCTAATGATAATAGGAGTAGTAATCAAAATAAATATAAATAACCCGAAACCCAAATCACCCTATAACCGCAACTATTGTATTTAACTAAACCCTAATTTACTTTTTATAAATACTGTTAATTAATCTACGTTCTTATAAAACCCACTTCTTCAAAATTTCCGTCGCCCGCTGCTCCAGCGTCGCCTCCCCGACGTTGCCCGCCGCCCCATCGTCGGCAGCTAACCCAGTCCGCCCACCTTTCGACGTTGCTGCAGCAAATCCCAGCACCGCCGTCGTCATCTCGAGATCAGGCCGCTCCTCGTCGTCGCGCGCCGTCTCGAGTTCAGTCGGCGTCGTCAACATCTGTTCGTCGGCTCCAGTTCGTCGGCGAGAGTCGGCGTCATCTTGAGTTCCCCGTCGTCAACTACAGTTCGTCGTGGTCTCGAGTCGTCGTACGTCTTCAGTTCGTCTGCA